ACCGACTTTGAAGAGTTCAACACCAGGTATTCGGTGGCGAACCATATTATCCACCCTGTGCTCCATATTCTACAGCGCATTCTGGTGTTTGCGGTGTTTAGCAAGCAGGACTTGAGCAAGCTCTCGCATGAAGAGCTATTTACTTTGTGGGTTTCCACTAGGGAGGAATTGAAAGGGCGGTTCAATATGGAATACTGGTTTATCGTGTGCTGCGAGGCAATCAAGTCGGGCCACAAGACAGGAGAAATTGCCCTCGGTGGGATGATTACAAGGATTGCCAAGAAGCTCAACTATGAACGCTTCTTCCCCTCGTGCACTCAAGTTCGGGCCGACAAAGATCTATTCATCGACATACAGCAGATGAGAAGGTCGGGGTTCCTCCAAGGAACTTTAGATGCCAACAATTTTCATGCCTGGATGGTTGACCGCGAGCACCATTGTATCTTGCCATACCCCAGCCGTACATCCCTGGAGCGGAACGCAAGGAATGTATGGAAAATTCCACGAGATAATGGTGTGCTACCCACTGCTCTGGGTGGCATAAGGAATATGGAAGTCGGCCAACAAAAACAGCAACAACAACAACAACAACAACAACAACAACAACATCATCAGCAACAACAACAGCATCAAGGCATGAGTAGCCTTGAACAACAAATGATGAGCATGCAACTTGGCATGCAGAGCATAATGGAGAACCAACAAGGTATGTTTATGCAAACCCAAGCTCTTTATGGTGCGGCCGTGGATAAGGGTGAGGTCACCCCCCCGGTAAATTACCCCTATTGGCCACCCCAACAAGGCCCGATCCCTGGGTGGCAGGGATCACAACCTACTTGGCCCTATTGGCAACGGCCCTCCTCCCACGGTGTTTCCCGGGTAGACTACCCGACGGAAACCGAGTACGATTATCGTGCCCCCGGGGGGAGCGATTTTAGGGGTGACCCCAACTATCCATATGTCGACCCTACCTACCCTTCCCCTCTTCATCTTCCCGCCCCTTTCGACCCGTTGCCTCAATGGCGACAAGACCTCTTCCGAGGTCACTATTGTTGGCCTCCGGGTTACTCTGGTGGTTGGGACCCACACGGCATCCCTCCGGACGATTTCTCTTACGACACCGAGGATGATGGAGATTATGACGAAGCCGGCCCTAGTGGCCACTAGCCCCCCTTGTTCTTTATTTCTCCCCTTTGCCCCCTCCCAATGTTTTAATTTGGCGCACCGCGGACGGTGCATTGTTTTAGTGTGGGGGGTGTGTAAGAGGCAAAGGGATGTTTTTTTATAGTGTGGGGGAAGGCTTGTCATCATGCTAGTGTGGGGGGATATCATTGTAGGTGGTAGAGCTCTCATGGTTCGGTTGGCTTTATCATGTTTTGGTGTTGATTTATCTGCTTGATTGTGATGATTATGTCCCTGGGTAATTTTGATAAGTTTTTGCTAATGAATTTTCAAGTGTTTGTGTAGGTGATGGCGCTCCCATGAGGAAAAATCCAAACTCCCGATAGTCTAAACTTCCCTTAATCCAAATTTCTTTTAGTTTATTTTATTTTATTTCTATTTCTTCATTTTGTTTAAATTCTTAGTTTCTTTCTTTGATTTTTAACTTTTTTATTTCATTTTGGCTCACTTTTTAAGCTTGGAAATGGAGATAAAGGAAGTCAAAGGGCAAATCGAGCCCCCCTAGGTGAGATTGCATAATTTATCTTGTCTTCATTTTAAGCGGCATTTGGTGAGACCTTTCCTCTCTTTTATTTTCTTTTTCCTTGGTTGTTTAGCTTAGGTTTAGCTTAGGAATAAGTTGAATGGTTCGAGGATGTTTGCTTTTGGTTCTATGGAACCTGGGATCGTTGATGTTGTTATCGAACGATCACTTGTATGACGATTGGGATTTAATTGAATTATATGCCTCGTATGTGAGCCTTTTTTATTTCTTCCTCTTTCTTTTGTTTTGTTTTCCCCTTTTTGTGTTACAAGCATAATTATGACAATTTGAAATGATTTTTGATGTGTAATTTGCTCACTCTTTTGGATTGATTTGCCTCGTTGTGTCTTTGAATGCTTATCTTCCTAGTTGATGAGGGTTTGCACGGTTTGAGAATGCTTTGGGTTGAGTTAGACACATTGTAAGCTAAGGTAGCCCGGTTTAGAACTTTTAAGGGCGTTTGAACCCCTAGTTCACGGGAAAGTGGTAAGATGGTGTTGCTCTTTATGGTGGATAGGATTCCCTTGGTTAGTATTTGTTATGTTTCTTATCCCGTGTGAGCGTCATTTGTTCTAGCCTTCATCATTCTTGCGAGCGGCATTTAGGATCCTTAACTATGCATGTCTTAATATTTGCGTTGGCATCTAGCTCCCAAGATCGTGACCATATAACTCTAGAGGAAGAAGAGGGCATTTCTTCTCGTTTTTCTTTGTTTTCTTTGTGTTTTGTTACAAATTTGGTTTTCATTTTTTTTTACATTCACCCTTTTGCTAACCAATTTGAGCCTTATTTCCCCTTTCTTGACTTAGCTATATTACAAACCTATCGGCCTATGTTCTACCAACCCTTGTAGTTAGTGAAGCATTGGCTTGTGAGGTTCAAGTTTGATAATGTTGAAATTGAGCAAGAAACTTGTGTAAATTGGTTCAAATAAGGTTTTGAAAGGTTATTCATGAAAAGAGTACGCAAAAAGGCTTGGCAAGAAAGTTGAAACTCATGAAAACCAAGCTTCAAAAAAAAATTGAAGTAATGTGGAGTGGTTTGTTTTGAAAGGTTGTGAGTTTGAGAATAGGTTTAATTCTTAGGATGTTCTTGAGAGATGGCCACTTTTACGCTTCACTTAGGAATTGCCACCAAAATTTTCAAATTGTTTCCCAACCATAACCCCTAGCCATGACATTATAACCCTACTTAAGAGCCTTGGATTCTAGAGGGGCGTGGTCAAAGAACGGTGGAAGGAGATAGATTTCAACCCTATGGAGAGAGTATGCATAGTTAAGATGTCGGGATGAACTTATGATTCCACATAAAATTTTCTTTTTCCGGTTCCCTCGAGGAACCATGAGGAGCTAGCTAGGGGATGAATTGAAGCTAGTGGAGAGAAAGCGGACCGTCTTGGTTGGGGCTAGGGCGGAGAATGAAATCATTAGTTCTCTACGCTTAGCTTAGGTTTGTCTTTTTCAACCTTGAGCATCTTGGAACGTGTTTTCCCTCTTTGAATTGAGAAATATAAGTATTCTTTGGTGCACTTATTTGAAAATGAGTCCAAATTGAGCATTCCATTACCTTGAGGCTTGATTGGTTTTCTAAAACCTTGTCATGTTATGTTTGTTGTGTTTGTCTTTTTGTCCCGGTTTTCCTTGCTTGAGGACAAGCAAGAGGCAAGTGTGGGGGATTTTGATGAATGGAATTTATGCCACTCTTTTATCCTTTTTCTCTAAGGATTCTCCCCTCATTTGCACTTGTTTGGCCCTTTTTCTAAGCATTTTTACTTAGTTTTGCTTCCTCTTTTCTTTTCTCCTTTATCTTCCCTTCTCTTAGTCTTCTCGCTTTATTTTTATTTTGATTTCCATGCTTTTGTTTTGTAGGTATTATGTGCCGAAAGAAAGAGGATATCAAAAAGCCAAGCTGACTGTTGTGCGCGGGGAGCTGTGCGGGCGCGCAGCCCTGTCAGAACCCGCGCAGCCAGACTGAAGAAATAGAGCCTAACCAGAGAGTTTACGCGACTTGCTATGCGTCTTATGTGCGGGCGCGCAACCTGATGCGCGGGCGCACAGGCCTTCTGTGCGAGCGCGCTTATTTTCCCCGTACCCTCAAAGTTGCGGCCGCGCACTACGCTGAGAGGGCGCACACACCTACTGCGCGAGCGCGCATATGTCGTGTGCGGGCGCGCACGGCTGGGTTTCTGCTTTATTTGCGCCTTGTTGTCCAAGTCTCTTTCTTTTGGGGGGGAGGGGAGCCACATATATATATAGACGGGACTCTTTGTAATAAAAGGGACTTAGTACTAATTCCATAGAACATTAGCCTAATCTAGAGAGAGAAAATAGATTATTATTTAAACCTCCTACATCGTATTCAACTTTGCTCAAGTTTTAATCTTCCATCAATCAAGCAAGTATCCAAGTTTTCATCTTTCTTTAATCCTTTATTTAGTAATCTCTTCTCCTTTCCTTTAATATTATTTATTTGTTTTATTGTTACTTATTTTTGTCAATCTTATTAGTTTATCTAGTTATTATTGATTTCATTGATTTCAATCATGTTTTGTTTTGAGTTTCTTGAGTTTATTTCTAGTTTTTATATTATGTTTAATCTCCCTTCTCTAGGCTAAACTTTTAGCTAGGGGAAGGGGGTGGAAGATATGATTTGATATTGGATGAATGATGATGGTTGGATTGAACTTATGCCATATATTGATGAAAGACATGATTTTTATTAGCTTGGGATTATTGTTGCACTCTATTTGATGTTTTCTAGTTTAAATGCATGAAAGTGATTTGAACTAGATTAGGATCACCTCTATTTTAATGATTGCATGAGAATGAGTTATTAAAGTGGAGTTTTTATGGATTGTGCTTCTTTATTCTCTTGATTTGATTGTAACTAATAGGATGCATGAGAATGATCCTTATTAGTGTAGACCTCTTTCATTGATTTACCAAGACTATTGCATGAGAATGAATTGTTTAGGTAGAACCTTGTGTTCTTTGGCATATGTTTCATGATAATCACCATTATTCTCGTCTTTCTAATCATATTGGACACCCCCGTATCCCTAGCGTCATTTTCTATTGATTTTAATCATCATTTTCTTGCTTACTTGTAGTTTTAGTGTTCTACTCAACAAAACCAACAAAAACAATCCCCTTTTCACTCTTGCATTAGTGATATTTGATGTTGAATTAGCGTGCTTCCCTAGTGGTTCGACCCTTTACTTGCCACTAACTTGTTTAGTGTAGGTTTAGGTATTATAAATGATTAATTTGGTTAGGGTGGTAGCATAACGACCTATTTAACCCGCGATCACTAAGCTGCCCCCGTCTATTAGTATTCTATCCACCTCCCAGTTTACGATTCTCATTGTCACCACCAGCGGGTCATCAAGGGGGTAAATTATGCCCTTCTGGTCATACTCATCAAACGTGGCCTGCGGTTGCGGGGTAAGAGGTGGCCATCTACGCTTATCATTGTCGTTTATTTGATGTATCATCGCCCGCAGGTCAGTCCGCGCTCTGTTGACTGTTTCCCCATGTACTGGGCCCCCGCTGATCACATACACCCTGCCTTCTGGCTTGCCATCTATGTCTCTGTATCCAGCTGGTCCTCTATGACCTCTTATGCGGTCAGGACGGCCCGCTCTATCCTCATCCCTCCTTCTAGGAGGGTCATCGCGCTGCTTAAACTGATTCAAGTACCCTCTCCTGACCAAGTCTTCTATGTTGTCCTTCAAATGTGTGCATTCATCAGTGGTGTGACCATTGTCCCTATGGAAGTCACACCATTTGCTGGTATCACGGTTTCTGTTAACCATCCTCGGGGGTCTCTGCCACTTGTCCTTAGCTTTGTTCACGCTAAATATATGAGACCAAGAATGGGTTAACGGGGTATATTGGTAAAACCTCCCAGGCCTTGGCCCTCTCTTTAGGTCTGACCTTCTCAGTCCTACTGCTCTGTCCGCTTCTCTGCGGTTTTGCTCAGCCCTGCTCGGATGGTCCACCCTGGGCGTATTCTCTGCCTGGGTGACCTCTGCCCGCTTAACTGAGTCACTAGGTGCTTTCTTACCCAGCATTGCTTTGTCAGTCTCGTCTGCTTTGATGAACTCGTGAGCTTTGCCCAGCGCTTCAGCAAGTGTTTTGAGGCTCTTACGCCCCATATATGCTCTGAACGGTGATCCCGGCAGTAAGCCACTCTGCATTGCTAGTAGCGCTACCTCCTGGCTCATATTTGGGATGGTTGTTGCCTCCTTGTTGAATCTGGTGATGAACTCCCTCAAGGGCTCGTCTTTCCCTTGAACCAACGACATCAGCTCGGTTGTCATCTTGGTTCGGTCTACCAGGGTTATGAAATGCTCCATGAACATTCTCTTCAACTGGCTGAACGAGTATACGGAACATTTGGGAATGGCTCCATACCACTCCGCTGCCAGCCCCTCCAGGGTCGGCGGGAAAGCCTTACACCAGACTGAGTCTGTCATAGTGTAAAGTACCATGTGGTACTCAAAAGCTGATATGTGGCTTTTGGGTGTTGTGGTTCCGCTGTATTTGCAGCTTGGCATCTTTATTTTCTCCATTGGTTCCTCCAGAATCTCCCGACAAAATGGGGAATCATTTGGAACAACCTGGATTCGCGCTCGCTTGTCTCTCTCAGGGCTTGGTTCCCGCTCTGAGGTTGGTGACCTGCTGCGGGGGACCCGCTTCTCCGGGCTAATTCGAGCAGGGGCTATTTCCTCCACGCTCCATTCTCGATTCAGGTTACGAGCTTCCAGCTCCAATACCTTCTTCCTAAGCTAAATGAGCTCTTTCTGCTCAGGGGTGAGGGTCGTGGACACCGACTTTTTCGCCACGGGCTCCGCAGCTGCCGCTGCCAGTGAAGGACTTCCCCCCTTACCCATACTGGTGAGGACCGCGGTCATTGCAGCCAGCTGCTCCTTACTGCACCTAGAGAGGTTCTACAGAATGGCTCGCATATTTACGGGCTGCGGTTTCTGGGTTACAGGTGCTGAAATAATGAGCTCATTGTTCGCGCCTGTTAACGGAATTCCGTATTTGAAAACGGAGCTGGATCCCACCGGATCTACTGGTTTCGCCGCCGCTTTAGAAGCAGCTGTTGTCGATCCGGTATGGTTGGATTTCTGCGAGATGGCCGATTTGGGGTTTCCGGTGGATCCTTTTGGATCAATGGTTACTGGGGGTGTTTTTTGTGGTGTTTGGCTGGTCTCATTAGTTTTAGACATGGGTGTCTGTACATCTTCTTCTCCGGCCATGGCGGTTAGTTAACTAGTCCCTAGCTCAGATGGTGAACCTCAGGTTAGATGATCTTTCCCCTCCTTCTAGCGCCAATTGTTCCAGGTGCGGATCCAAGGGTTCTGATGGGTGAAATGGGTCTCGTCAACTACCTACACAAGGCAGCACACGTAAAATGCCCTCAGGGGTGGCTCGAGGAACCCCCCTCCGAAGCTTAAGTTAGAGAGTGTTTAGAGAGAGAAAGTGGACTTAGAAAGATGTAGAGAGTATAATGACTTGATTGTCTTACCCCCTTTCCGTTGTACTTTATCCTCTATTTATAGCGTACCATCTCCTTCGTGGAGAGTTTAGTCTGGTCATCCCTGCGGGCTGACTCTGCCGGGCTAGTGAGCCCTCCTTTAATTGCTTTCTCGGCAGTGAGTGCGCACCCTGGGGGCTGGGCGATAGTTCAGCGGGAGCTATCCTATACATATAGAATAAAGAAATATGAAAGAATAAAAATTGCAAATATTTGTGGAAATGTTGGCTCTAAGGCCTTTCATTAATAATCGAAAATGCATTTACAAAGATTGTTCTGCCCCGAAGGGTTTACACATGGAATTTTTTAAGTACATCAGCATTCCAATGATTTTTCAACTCAGTTCCATCCAACTGCAGAAGTCGGTATGTCCCAGGCTGAAGTTCATCATCATTCTCGTAGGGTCCCTCCCAAGTGGCTGAGAATTTCCCATGGATTCAGTTTTTCTAAACTGCTGTAGCATTCCGAAGGACCAGGTCTCCAATTCTGAGAGGCCTTGCATGGACCCTTCGGTCATAGAATTTGCTGATTCTTTGCTTGTATACAGCCATTCTATCTCTGGCTGAGCCTCTTACTTCGTCAAGGAAATCGAGAGATTCCTTCATAAGTTGCTCATTCTCAGCTGAGAAGTGGTGCACTTGTAGACTTTTAGAACCGATTTCTACTGGAAGAACGGCTTCGGTACCATACACCACTTCAAAAGGTGAGTGGCCCGTTGCCTCTTTTTCAGTTGTCCAAAGTGACCAGAGAATTCCGGGAAGTTCTTCTAGCCACTTGGATTTTTAATCCTCAACTCTCTTCTTGAGAGAGTTAAGAATCTGCTTATTTGCAACTTCGGCTTGTCCGTTACTTTGCAGATGGCACACCGCTGAATATGCCAATTTGATGCCGAACTGATCAGTGTACCGCTTCAGCGGCAGATTGTCAAATTGCCTTCCATGATCAAAGTCAAATACTTTCAGGCTGCCGAAACGAGTAATGATGTTTTGCCAGATAAATTTTCTGACAGTTTGCTCTGTAATGTTCGAGGCTGCTTCGGCCATGATCCATTTGCTGAAATAGACAATACCGACTATCAGCCACTTTTTTTGGTATGGGGCATCCGGAAATGGACCCTAAATATCCAGCCCCCACTGGGCAAATGGAAAAGGATTCAGAACTGGCTGAAGCTCTTGGGCCGGCTGATGGATGACTGGTGCGAACTTTTGACATTTTTCGCATTTTCTGACCAACTCCTTAGCGTCTTAGATCATGGTAGACCAATAATACCCTGCCCTTAAGGCTTTATGGGCTAAGGTTCTTCCCTCAATGTGGTTCCCGCAAATGCCGAGATGGATCTCCCGAAGGACATAATCCGCATCTGTAGGGCCCACGCATTTCAGCAATGGGGCTGAGTAAGACTTTTTCAGCAGCTCTCCATTAAAGACAATGAACCTGGAGTTGGTTCGCTTCAGCTTGGAGGCTAGAGTTTTGTCCTCGGGAATTTCTCCCCGAATCTTGAAAGCTAGGATGGGATCCATCCAGCTGGGCTCCTGGTCAACGCAGCACACTGCTGGTGCTTCGTCGACGCTTCTTTCTCGGCGCACCTCCACGTAAACAGGTCGGTTCAGCTCAGTGAGAGTTGAATTGGCAAGTTTGGAGAGTGTGTCGGCTTGAGCATTCTGACCCCTTGGGATCAGCTGAACTTCAAAAGTTCTTAGCTTTGTGATGACTGATTTGATCTTGAAGAGGTAAGCTACCATTGATGGCTCTTTGGCCTCATAGTCACCCCTGAACTGATATGCAACTATCTGAGAGTCTGTCTTCAGACAGACATGTTCGGCTTCTAGAGAGATGCACAATTCTAGGCCAGCGACTGCTGCCTCATATTCGGCCTCGTTGTTCGAAGCTTTGAAAGAAAATTTTAGTGCGTACTCAAAGGACTTGCCTTCAGGAGAGGTTATCACCACCCTTGCCCCCGAACCATTCACGATGGAGGATCCATCCGTGAAAATGGTCCAGACTTTCTTCCCTTCGTGTAGCGTCTCCTGGTACGAGCATTCGGCAAGGAAGTCCACTAGAGCTTGTGCCTTGATGGCTGTTCTCGGCTGGTAGCTGATGCTGAACTCAGTGAGCTCGAAAGCCCACTTTGCTAACCTATTGGATTTTTCTACTTTGCCGAGTACTTTTTCCAGCGGCTAATCAGTTAAGACAGCTATTTGATGGCAATCGAAATAGGGCCTCAACTTCCGAGCTGCTACCACTACTGCATAAGCAACTTTTTTGAGTAGGGGGAAGCGAGTCTCGGCATCTGTCAGAGTGTGACTGACAAAATAGATCGGCTGTTGAACCTTGTCTTTTTCCCTCAGCAGCACTGCACTGATGGTGGCTGGGCTGACATCCACGTATAAGTACAGGGTTTCCCCTTCAGCTAGATGAGCCAGCGTAGGAAGTTGAGCAAGAGGCTCCCGAAGCTGCTTGAAGGCCTCTTTTTGCTTGTCTCCCCAGATGAGCTCTTTGGTTTTTGGAAGTTTTAGGGCTTTGAAGAAGGGTAGACCCTTATCCGAGGCTCGGGAGATGAACCTCGAGAGGGATGCCATTCTTTCAGTGAGCCGCTGAACATCTCCTTTTGTTTTCGGCTCAGGGAGATCGAGTGCTGCTTGCACCTTTGCGGGACCGGCATCAATCCCTCTCTTGTTGACCATGAAGCCGAGAAATTTTCCAGACTTCACTCCGAAGATACACTTCTTTGGATTCAGCTTCAGTTGGTGCTTCCTTAAGGTGGCGAATGTTTCAGCTAGGTCCTTAACATGGTCTTTATCTTCCTTTCTTTTGACGATAGAATCGTCAACATAGACTTCCATGTTTCGGCCTTTTTTCTCGGCAAAAACTTGATCCACCAACCTTTGATACGTTGCCCCTGCATTTTTCAATCCGAAGGGCATCATTTTGTAATTGTAAACCCCGGCGTTCATGACGAATGTCGTCTTTGCTCGGTCCTCGGGGTGCATGAAGATCTGATGGTACCTAGAAAATGCGTCCATGAAACTAAGCAGGGAATGGCCACTTGTCGAGTCGACTAGCTGATCGATCCTCGGCAAGGGGTAAAAGTCCTTCAGACAAGCCTTATTTAGGTCTGTGAAGTCAACGCACATTCTCCAGGTGTCATTTGCCTTATGAACCATCACCACATTAGCCAGCCATTCTGGATACTGACAGGGTTCGATGAAGCCTGCATCCAGCAACTTTTTGACTTCGGCTGCGATGTCTCGGTTCTTATTTGCGGAGTAATTCCGCTTCTTTTTCTTAAGTGGCCGACACGTGGGGTCAACATTAAGCTTATAAGAGATGAGGTCTGAACTTATCCCGGGCATGTTAGTTGCCGAGACAGCAAACACATCTCGGTTGTCCCAAAGGAGTTGGATGAGTTCAACGCGGACTTTTGGATCGAGATCCATTCCGATTGTAACACATTTTTCAGCGTCTCCTTTGGTCAACTCCACCGTTTCAGTCTGCTGATCCAGCTCCATTGCTTTGGAGCCGGATTCTTCGTCATCTGGCCTGCTGTCAACATCAGCAGGCGTCCTAGACTTTTTCTTCGGCTGGTTCTCTGAGTCGTTCGGCTCAGATGAAGAACCAGCCTTCTCTTTCTCTGACCGTTTTTCCTTGGCCAGAGATCCTTGGGCCGAAGCACTTAGGCCTTTCGGCTTCTTCGTACTTGGCTCTTTTTCTTTTTCTTTTTCCTCCTCATCCTCATCGTCGTCATCTTTCTTTGAGTCGTTCGGCTCAGATGAAGAACCAGCCTTCTCTTTCTCTGACCGTTTTTCCTTGGCCAGAGATCCTTGGGCCGAAGCACTTAGGCCTTTCGGCTTCTTCGTACTTGGCTCTTTTTCTTTTTCTTTTTCCTCCTCATCCTCATCGTCGTCATCTTTCGAACGGCTAGTGGATGGCTTGAGGTAGTTGCACCTTCTGGCTTCCTTTTGGCTGCCCTCAATTCTTTCGGGGTAGCCGGCATCCGAAACATATATCATCATTTGATGGTATGTTGAGACTACCCCTTGAATTTCGTGGATCATAGGTCTCCCCATGATCACGTTGTACACTGAAGGAGCGTCAATGACCAAGAATTCAGTCATGACGTTCCTAGCTGCTTCAGCGCGGCCGATGGTGACAGGAAGAAGGACCTTCCCGTCTGGATAAGTTGAAGCTCCGTTGAATCCAGAAACCGAGTAGGGTACTGGCGTTAGGTGCTTGGGCTTCAGCTTAATTCGGTTGTAGGCCTTTCGAAACAAAATGTTTGCTCCGCTGCCTCCATCCACGAGAGTCCTGGAAACGTCGTGGTTGGCAATTGTAGCAACAATTACCAAGGGATCCTTGTGGGGGAATGTTACCCCCCGGCAGTGAGGAGCTGAGAACGTCATGTTCGGTGCTGGTGACTGAGGAGGTTGAACATTAGCATTGTTCACCTGATGGGTTAGAGCCCTAAGGTGACGCTTATTCTCCCTTAGAGAACACGTCCCTCCAGATATAACATGTATCGGGGGAAATTTTTCCTCCGAAGTCTTGTTATTGTTCTTCCGGGGGAAATCCAGCTCTTGCCGAGAGTCTTTCTCAGACCTCTCAGCCTCTTTTTTCTCGCGGTGATCCGCGATATATTTTTTCAAGTACCCCTTCCGGACCATATCCTCGATTTGGTCCTTCAGCTGGATACACTCTTCAGTGTTGTGTCCCGGTGACTCGTGCAACTCACACCAAAGGTTTTTATTTTTCTACTGATACCACTGGGGAAGTGGTCTCGGCTTTCGGTAACTCTGCTATCCCTTCATTACGCTGTTTATTTTGGCGCGCGGAAGGGCGAGCGGAGTGTAGGATTCATATCTTCCCAGGTATGGTGCAAATTTATCCTTCTCCGGCTCGTTGGCCGAAGCTTTTTCCGAGGCTTTCACCTTTCCTTTCGACTTCTGGCCTTGGCCTTCAGTCGATTGTTGTTTTTGTTTCCCACCCCCGGTTCGAGGTTGGGTTTTTGCTTTGTTCCATTCTTCGGCTCGGATGAATTTATCCGAAGCGTTCAGAGCTTCATCCAAGGTCTGTGGGGGATGCATGACCATGAAGTCAAGGAACTTTCCTGGCTGAAGGCTATTTTGCATAGCAAAGACGGCCAGCCCTTGATCCAGCTGGGAAACGCTGGTTGACTCGTTGCTGAAACGAGTCAAATAATCCCGGAGGCTTTCGGCCTCCCCTTGCTGCAGGCCCATGAGCTCTGCAGTAGTCTTCTCTCGGCGGTTTACCATAGAAAACTTACTTTAAACTTGGTGGACCGATCGTCCCACCCAGTTATTGAACCCTCCTTTACTTTTTTTAGAGATCCATGCTTAAGCGACCCCCTTGAGGGTAGTAGGAAAGTATTTGCATCAGGTCGCCTCGGACCTAGGGCACAGATGCATATGCCCCTCATAGGAGGAAATATGGTCCTTCGGATCCAAAGTCCCATCGTAAGTAATGTGCGACAGGATTTTAACCGTCGGCATATGTTCTTCCAGAATCCATTGCCCAAATGGAGAACTGGTGGGAAGCATCACGGCCTTACCCTTTTTCCTAGCCGAAGGGACCGCGCTCCGCCCTCTTAGAGAGGTAGGAGTGGTTTTCGTCCCCGGCTGGGAAGGTTGGGCCTCGGCTACAGGGAAGGAGAGGCGGCTATGCACACTCCGTTCCCTATCGCCCATTCAGTCGAGAGCGCTTCGGTGGACAGTCTCTGGCCGAGAGGCAGAGCTGCTGCTTTTGTGAGTTTTGCTCTGGGTGAGCTGGGTAGAGAGTTCCTTGAAGAAATGAGAGTTCCTTTGCCTTTCTCGTTCGGTTGTCCAAGTGTCCTCTTCCCACTCTACCAACTCCCTAAAAGGGGGGTTTCTCCCCCTCCTGGCCGAGCCTTCTCCGCTGGTGCCTGGTTTGCGGAGGAGTTCGGTCGCATGGAGGTGGCATGTTCTGGGCCCTCATGGCGTCCATGAGTACCGCCAAAGCTCTCGCTACCTCTTCCGAATTAGGCCCCGTTAAATGCGTCCTCGGCCGAGTGTGAGAGCGAGAATGGATGCTCAAAGGCTGGCTCCGAGCATTAGATTGAGTCCTGTGGTTGGACTGATTTTCAGCGTTGGAACCAAGGAGGGCTCGGCCTGCGCTGAGATTGAATTATGGGAGAAAGAGATCCTTGCCGATACGCCCCTCCCGAACTGGCACCCTTAGAAGAGTCTCGTTCCGGTGAAGGCGATGGTGTTGGAGTAGGAGGGTCTAAGGGCCTCTTCCCCTGCACCATTCGGCGCTTCCGCGATGGGGAAGCACTGCTGTTCTTGTTCTTGCGATTCTTAGCCATTGGTACTAAGATTTTGGTAGAACGATTGAGATTGGCTTAAAGATTTTTTGAAAGTCTTCCCCACAGACGGCGCCAAATTGTTTCAGGTGAAAACAATGGGACCTTGCCAAAGGTCCTGAGATGTGGGTGAAGACTGACTCGGTCCAAGTGATGCTGGGCCGAGGGTTTCCTACACAGAAAACACACGTAAACTGGCCTCGGGGGTTGTGCCGAGGAAGGCCTCTCCGATGCCGAAGTCAAACAGTGTTTAGAGAGAGAAAGCTATGCAAGAGTATTAATTGCTTGAGGCTTGAATGTGTATGAATGATAAATGATGTAATTGAAGGCTTTTATACCTTAGCATAACAAGGAGGAGACATGGGCTTAGAGTCACATGGGCTGACCATGATAACTTGGGTCGTTGACTTGAGCTTGACTTGGCATGATTGGAGGCTTGGGCCTTGACCTTAACTTGGATTGAATCATTTATGGACCAAGCCCAATTAGGCTTAATTGGACCCAAACAAACACGATTATACCAAATTACAATACCAATCAAGCTTCAATTAAATCGAAAATTCTTACCATGATGCATATCAAATTACCCATTCTATCAAATTCAATGTAGCTGAATGATTTGCGTCGAGCTCTTTGAAGCTTAAATGTTTTGAGGTTTTGAAAGGAGAATGGTGTTTTGTCGGCGATTTTGAATTTAAAGGCATATGGATCGAACAATGGTGTTAGAACGACATGATGATTTGAATGGAGCACTATCATAGAACAGAACACCATCAAACAACAGAGTATATTGACGTTTGTTAACGGGTGTTAGTTTGGTAAATAAAGACATTGACTAAATTAGTCTATCCTTATTAAAGTATGCAAATTGACCTCCGCACCCCCCATATTAACATGTTTTGTTAATATGCCATATTAACAGGTATTTTTTCCAGCAAAAATTATTTCAATTCAGTAAACATATTTTCAGTCAATAAAAATCAATTAAGTTAAGAAATATAATAGAAAATCAGTTATAATAATTTCAATTCTGTAAAATTAATTTTTTGTTCAATAAATATAATTTCAGTTCAGCAAAAATAATATTTAATTTAAAATAATTTCAATTTAGTAAAAATAAGGTAAAATATTTTTTTTTTTTAAGGGAAAGTAAAGCCTTCAAAGGGTTATTGATCTGATATTCTTTTTAATTCAAAGATTAAATTTAAGTGCAATCCGTATTGGCCCACAAGTTCAAAATCTTTTCACTCCAAATTTGCCGCCAAACCATCTCTAATCTTCCACTTCAATCGAAAACACAAAACCGTAGCACCATTTTCTCTCCCGGAAATAATGTCGGAAACCACGCCGGAAACAATGTCGGAAACAACGCCGGAATCAACATCGGAACCAACGCCGGAAACAATGCCGGAAGCTACGCCGGGAACAATGCCGGAAGCAACGCCGGAAACAATGCCGGAAAACCCGATAACACCATATCTTTCCTCCTTAGAAAGTAATGAGTTTACCCAGCACATTCTACCGGAACACATTTTGCCCAAGCTCCCTGCTAAAACCCTAGTTAGATTCAAAGCAGTTTGTAGCAAATGGAGGACTACAATTGAGACTCCTGAATTCGCGAGAGCTCATCTTCTTCAGTATCCAAATATCAGGTCTGTAATATCGATTGATTACCATGCTTCTTTTACAGCTCTCAACTATCAAGATTACCCTAATTTGGATTTCACCGATTTCAAGAAGCATTATAAAGATGAATCTCCTTATATAGTTGAGTCTTGTAATGGATTACTCTTGTTGATTTGCTCAAAGGATGATTCTGAACCTGTTAACAAACAACTTCCTGATCATCTTCTTTACTTTCGCTTTTATTTTGTGGTTTATAATCCATTTCTTGGTCCTGCTTCTTCAATTAGGATTGACCCACCAGAAAATTTTCTTCTTAAAACGGAAATAGATGATGCTAAGGACTATAATTTTGGGTTTGGTTATTCTTTTTCCCGAGATGATTACTTTATCGTCGCTGTTAATTCTCGTATGATTGCGAATCTGGATATAACTGTGCATCTATACTCTTTACAAGACCGGCGATGGATCAGAATAGACATTTCGAGTACTGTCAAGCCAATTATAGAGTTTGCAATTCCGTGGTATAATTTGAGTGGCATCCTGGTAAATGAATTGTTGCACTGGCCTGTGAATGCTGTGATTTCGAAAAGTTGTCAAGAAATGATTGCTGTATTTGATTGGTTTGGTCAGGACCAGTTTAAGACTATGCCATTGCCACGTGAAGTCTTTGGAGAATTTGATGATTATCGTTCAACGTTTGGTCTATGTCGCCTGAATGATTGCTTGTGTGCTTGGGCGCTTTACAATGATCGAACAGTAGTAGAGATGTGGATGATGAAAATATATGGTATAGACGGTTCATGGACAATGTTGTTTCGTTTTGATATGTTGGGATTTTTGGGTGTATATGATGGCATAACAAATTTCTTTGGATTTAACCGTTCTGAAATGGCATTGATCCTGTCATGTACTGATGAGCTCATGCTTGCTGAATTTTATCTCGATCCTCCTGTCTATACAAGTTTTAAATTCAAAGAGCAGGTTAAGGCAGTGAATTATGATGCAAGCTTCATGTCTCCTCTTTTATTAAGCCCGCCACAGGATCAAGATTAGTATGGATCGATACAAGGTACGTAACTATTGTTAGAAAATGCTTTCTAGTAGTAAGTCTCAAAACTCTGATAATTTCCTATGTTTGCTACAATTGCAAGGATATGAGTTATTGAGTAGTGTAGTTGTGCACTGCCTTATACGAGTTGTGTAGTTGCTAGTACGGAAAGCTGTGTTGTACTTTGCTCGATTATGTTTGTGCAATGATGGCATACAATGTACTAATTAGTAGCTGTAAAGATGCGGGTAGATTCTTAAGCTAGTAGTCAATTCACTGTACTCGAGACACATCAGGTTTGTGAGAGTATTGTACAAGTATCAAACACACCGAAGTAAAATAACTATGACCAGGCAACCTGTCCTAGAATTGGGTATGGAAGCAGAGATAAGGTATAGATGAAAAAAATATTTGTTAACATGTTCATTCACATTATTAGTAGATACTAGATACAGTAACACACATTTTATAAAGGCTTGTCTGCTAATCCTGATTAAAATTGTATTTCAAGCCCATTTCCAAGCATATAGTTCATAACTCTCTCTTTGCTTTCCTTCTATCTTGATTTTTTCTACAAAATTTTTGATCTTTATTACGATGTCAAGGCAATCAATGTCTCGGGTAAGTATGAGTGTCAAAGTATATAGAAGAGTCAAAGTAACACAGTCGTGTGTTCGTGACTCAGTGACACTAAATTACAGTCATATTTTCTTAAAATCCTTTTCCAATTTACAGTAAAAAACTGAGCCACACATGACCATCAAATTAAATTGGCCCTTTCCATGCATTGTTTATTTAATGCTTTAACTATAAGTAGTCTGCTTCTCTACAATATATATTACTGAAGCTTAAATTTCTGAAGTTTGCTGCTTGAAATTCTGAATTTGACTGCTTTGATTTTCTGAATTTTAGTGCTTTGATTTCTGAAGTTTGCTGCCTCAATTTTTTTTTATACTTTATGTTACATAAATTGCATAGTTGACACAGCAGCAGGCCTTACCCAAAAGCGAATGAACACATGAAACAAGGGTCTCAGGATTCTAAACTTTATACTATTTCCACATAGCTAGCACACGATATTGCAAGGACATGTTACCTCTTCTTCAATTACGGAGTAGTAGATATTGGTAATCGGATTAAAAAATCTAGGGGCATAACTTCATTTTGTATCAACCACCCTCACCTCCCAAAAATATCTTTCCTAGACAGTGGGGCGTAAAATTTTAGTGTAAGAAAACCAAAAAAGAAAAAAAAAAAAAAAATCCCTTGGGGCTCAGATAGGTAGTATCATGTATGTATCTACGAGTACATGGAAAATATTTGGAAAAAGTTTTCACATATTGTTGCTTTATACTTCCCACTTAGCATAGAAGTTGATTATGTTTAGATCTACACATAAAAGAAGACAACTTATATGAAGTATAAATGAGTTATTTTTAGTGAATCTGTGGCAAATACTCAAGTACAAAAAGATTCAGACGCATTGAATTTATTTATAATTCCAGACAGAGTAAAAAATAAAGAACCCAATTACCAGATCTTCAACTTGCAAGCTTTAATGTTGATACCACATCCACCTCCCAACTTGGCCTATAAGAAAGGACACCCTCCCAAATCCTTGTGCCCCTCACCTCCTTAACAGAACCCTACTGTTAGTCTTTGCTTGATTTTGGAGGCAGCCCTGGTTCATCAGGTTGATGAACAAAGCTTGTTAACAGGAGGCACTTCTGTGATTTCTAGCCTTGGTTTTCAGGAAATATTCATTTTATGTTATTCTGTACCATAGTTGTGTTTTAACTTGTAACAGGTTTTTGTTAGATGGTAAGAAATGTTAAGTGATGGCTGTTAATAACGTCGTTTACTACCTTTTGTGGAACAGAAAGTTGTTGGAGAGTCAGATACAGAGTACGACACAAGATAGAAAAGGAGAAGGCCATAAGAGAGACAAAGTTCATCATTTAAGCATCAGACAATTGGCGACATGGTTAGCATTGCTTCAGATTAGGACCCAGGTGTTGTGAGTATAGTAGCTTAGTGTCTTCTCATTATTGCATAAACAATTAATTTTCGAGATGATAAATGATGTTTGTAATTAGATGCTGCTTGTAATTGGAACTGAACTTTGGATTTGATATACTTCGGATTATAAACTAAGCGATAAATAGGTTGTGTTGACAATTGCTAGTGAAACGTATCGACATAATTGCTTTGTTATTGTTTCTTCCTGCAGTATTTTAAGGTATCTCAGAGTAATTGCAAAGGTGGAGTTGAATGTGGTAACATAGTTATCTGTAATCTATAATATGTGAAGCTTAATGTCAATTGCTGGTCTTTGTAGTATGATTGTGGAGTGGGTCTATCTATTAATGCCAATTGGTGGGGGATGGCAGGGTTACTTAATAAAACTGATTGTGTAAATGAATAAGATAGTTGGGCTTGAATATTTTGATTCTGTCTCATATTCCCAGGCACTGTAGTGTAATTAGCCAATCTGATATACCTTTTTTTGACGGGAAGCAAAGAACTTGTATCAAATTAAACTTGAAATACTAAGAGTTACAGTATCTAGGATACTAGGATACTATTAGGAGCCTTCTCCAACCAAACCATATCTCCTCAAAATTTCAACTGAGCTTAGCTAAGTTTATGTGCCACTCCATTTCCCAGCCTGCCAACATGGAGTATTCAATCGAAGTACAAAAATTAGCTAAGTGGAGGATATCTCTCACGATAAGGCCAAAACTCATGTTCAAACTTGCTCTGCTTCAAGTAATTGGTCAACTTCTGGCTGTCAGACTCCAGAACAAGCTTGTTAAAACCTGCCTCAAGCGCAATGGAGATTGAGTGCTTAGCTGCCAAAGCCTCAAGGACATCTACCTCTAGGCAGCCACTAATTTTACAACAAGTTGCAGTCATAATGTCCCTCACAGAATCACGAACAACTCCTCCAAGGCCTGCTGTACTCTCTGAAAATAGCTGCACTTAGTTAACCATGTGGCAACCCGTAGCAGGAGCCTGCCAATAGTGTCTAGGAGGCTGCTTAATGCTAATATCAGTGGGAGTTTTAGCATTTGCTTTCTCATATTATCTCCTCAATCTTCACACCTTAAATTCCCCAATTGCAGGACAATTTATTTGTACTTCATGTATACTTTAAATTAGACCAAAACTATTTTTTTGTTAAAATAATAAGAAACATCCTCAATCCTTCTAAGGTATGAGCAACAAACACATTTTTTTGACAAACACATGTTAGATAAATTAGTAGTTCACTTTAGCTAAGTTGTCTATTCTATAAGGGAATCATTAAATGTGTGTTTTTAATTAGTGACTTTTTAATTTGTGAAGTTGTCTATTCAGTAGAAAACAAAATTTTTCTATACAACGCGTAAGTTAATAATATTGCTCGACTAATAATGTTCCCTGAAAAAAAAAAAAAAAAAAAAGTAGCATAAGTTAACAATTGAGAATTTATAAAAATAAGCATAAGTTAATAATGTTCCCTAAGAATTTATAAAAAAACATAAACTAACAATTAAGAATTTATCGGGCTATTTTCGGTGAATGTGATGAGGTGAATGATGCTTCTGGTTCGAGTTCTTCTTCCCTTTGGAACAAGGTATGGAATGTTAAAACCTTGCCGAGAATTAAAGTATTTATGTGGAGAGCTTGTCGAGGTGCTTTACCCACGTCACTTGGGTTGAGTAAGCGATGCAGCATGTGTAAGGCAGCAGAGGAGACGGAACTCCATAGTATTAGAGATTGTGTTATTGCTCGTATGATTTGGGATTGTTGTCCTTTAAAGCCTGGAGAAGACGGATTTTTTCATGATTTTGCAGATTGGGTGCAAGCTTGTTTGGCTCGGCTGCAAGGTGAGGATCATGGGCTGTTTTTTACTGCTTGCTGGGAGGTATGGACAGCTCGTAATAGGTGGCTTTTTGAAGGAGAACATTGCAATCCTGCTCAGTCAATGGAGTATGCTCAGAAGTTGGTCAGGGAGATGGAAGGGAAGGACAAGGGAGAGAAGTCTGCTGGGATGGCTGCTCGCGCGACTTGGAAGCCCCCAAGACAGGGGCTGCTTAAGCTGATCGTGGATGGGAGTGCTGTGGAGGGGTTGGGTGCCTCAGCTGGGGCTGTGCTGCGCGATGAAAAGGGGGAGGTAAAGGTTGCTGCTGCGTGGACGGTGGAGGATAAGTGGGAACCTATGATCGCAGAAGCCAAGGCAGTCCTCTTTGGGCTGCAAGTTGCAGTTGATTGCGGGTATACGAGGTTGGAGGTGGAGGGTGACTGTCAGAGTCTTGGCTGCTATCAAATCACAAGAGAAGGGTGGAAGTAGTCTCCACTTGATTTTAGATAATATCTATCATGTGTCTAGCTTTCTTGATTGTGTCTTGGAATTTTGTTAGGAGGGAATGTAATAAAGTATCCCATGAGTTAGCTCATTGCTTGCCTTGGGGTACAAATAGGAGAGTATGGTTGTTGGATTTTCTGAGCTGTATTATACCTCTTGTACTCAATGATTCTATTGACAAATTTTCTTATAACACTAACCTACTAGCTCAATTGGTAGAGCATTGGGCAAATGCACAAAGGAAGTGGGTTCGAATCCCACTTAGGTTATTAATTTGATTTATATGCAAATGACCAAAACTTCTGAAATTTGGGCAAACATGTAGTAAGTGTTTTTTCTCATTCGAGTCCAATAACCATACATATATTCCATTTATGTAAAACTAATCACAATGAGAAAATTTCGCTATTTGAACAAGCTGTTGAATTATTGTTTTTGCTCATTTTTGCTGACCGTCAAATGGGAAGAACCTGTGAAAGGACTGATATTTTCATTTGAATCGTTTGCTCATTTGTGATAATTATATTAATGAGCAATAAAATTTTGTCCATTTGTGAAATGAGCGAAACAATTTTGTCCATCTGTGAAATGAGCAAAACAAATTTGCACCTATGTGAAATGAGCAAAAATATTTTGCTCATCTTTGAAATGAGC